GGAGCTCTGCTGAAGAGATGCGCTTTAACCAGCAGGGCCCCAGTCCGGAGCTCTATGCTGTACAGTGTGGTTCTAATTTGCAGGGGCCCAGCTCGGAGCTCTGTGTAAAGAAGACTGTATTAAATGTAAAAGCCGAAAGAGCTGTGGATGCTGTGAATCAGGAACAGAAACAAAGTTGCTGGAAAAGGTCAGCAGGTCTAGCAGCATCTGTGAAGGAAAAAACAGTTAACGTTTCAGGTCCAATGTCCCTTGCTGAGGAAGGGTCACTGGACCCGAAACGTTAACTCTGTTTTTCCCTTCACAGATGTTGCCAGACCTGCTGACCTTTTCCAGCAACTTTGTTTTTGTTTTTGTTGTTGTTGTGTACTGCATTAAATGTGTCAGTCGTTTATGAAAAGTGGTTATATTTTTCATAACAAAATAATCTAGCAGCATTCCCAGTTAACCAAGTAGATACTGCAGCTTGGCATCTATTTCCATGGAGACAGAGACCCCCAGCATCAATTCCCATTCTGTCTGAATGAACTGATTTCCGCTGACACTACAAAGTATGGGCTGCACACTCAGTATGTATGCTAGACAACAAGGTGCAGGGCTGGATGAACACAGCAGGCCAAGCAGCATCATAGGAGCAGAGAGGCTGACGTTTCGGGCCTAGACCCTTCATCAGAAAAGGGGGAGGGGAAGGGGGTTTTGAAATAAATAGGGAGAGAGTGGGAGGCGGATAGAGGAGAGGATAGGTGGAGAGGAAACAAACAGGTCGAAGAGGCGGGGATGGAGCCAGTCAAGGTGAGTGTAGGTGGGGAGTTAGGAAGGGGATAGGTCAGTCCAGGGAGGACGGACAGGTCAAGGGGGCGGGATGAGGTTGGGCGGTAGGAGATGGAGGTGCGGCGGGAGGTGGGAGGAGGGGATAGGTGGGAGGAAGAACAGGTTAGGGAGGCAGGGACGAGCTGGACTGGTTTTGGGATGCAGTAGGGGGAGGGGAGATTTTGAAACTTGTGAAATCCACATTGATACCATTGGACTGCAGGGTTCCCAAGCGGAATATGAGTTGCTGTTCCTGCAACCTTCGGGTGGCATCGTTGTGGCACTGCAGGAGGCCCAGGATGGACATGTCGTCTGAGGAATGGGAGGGGGAGTTGAAATGGTTCGTGACTGGGAGGTGCAGTTGTTTATTGCGAACCGAGCGTAGGTGTTCTGCAAAGCGGTCCCCGAGCCTCCGCTTGGTTTCCCCGATGCAGAGGAAGCCACACCGGGTACAGCGGATGCAGTATACCACATTGGCAGATGTGGAGGTGCAAGCTGAGAATTGGTGAGTGTTCTCTTCTTGATCACTGTGCTCCCCTCCTCGTTCGAGCTTGTTGCAATGCCATCCTGTCCTTGCAATGTGATGTAGCATATGGCTGATTATTGTACCCTACACTTTTTGACTCACATGAAGCATAGTCACCTGGAGGAATTCCTGCAGCTGTATTCCCTTCGAGACAAGTGGAGAAATTTGGGGAAGGGAGTTTTTTTTTAAATGAAAATTCATCCAGCTGCCTTGGATTTCAAATGTAGTTAACAATGCTCTGAGTAGAGCAGCTGGCTACAGGCAGCAAATCTGTCACAGTATAGAGCCGTGATCACAAGGCTGCACAGAAATAACATTACCGTTCTGACCTAGAAATGCCAGTGCCTACAGCACTTCTCTGCTTTACAGTTGCCTTCATAATGGCAGGGAAGTTTCAGGAAACCTTTTTTCCATTCGTGCAATACGTTTTCTTCCCCAGAGCCTGTTGATCTTGAACAGAGGTGGCTTTTCAGCAGTAGATTTCTCTCCGTGGATGGTGCAAGACTTGCTGAGATCTTCCAGCAATTTCTGTTTTTATGTGAAGATAAAAGCAGATATAGAAGGAAGGAAAAAAAATCAGAAATCTCCTACAGCACCTTAGACTACCTTGGTATATCCAGAGGTGATTTACAGCCAATGAGACATACTTGTGTAGTGAAGTCGCTATTGTAACATCGGAAACAGTTTGTACATAACAAATTCCCACCATCATAATGGCAAGTTTATAGTTAGGTTGGCCATTGAGGAATAAATATTGGGCACATGTCAACATGGGTTTGGGTTTTGAGAGATTCAGTTGATCTTTAAGACGTAGTTGTTTACTTTCAGTACAACAATACAT